GGAAGGAAACAATTTATAAAAAATATAGTAAATATTAAGTAATTAAAATTAAACAAATATTAAAATATAAGAAATTTAATAAAATACTAAATTAATTATAAATAGCTAAATGAAAAATAAATTATCCAACCCTCTCTTCTTTTGGGCTTCAATTGGAATTACAGATCTACTCAGAAGCTAAGAATTACCAGAGCTGAGCTGTTTGAATTATATATATAACATATATACAGTACAAAGTCTTTAATCCGGACTCGTTGGGACTTCGGTGATTCCGGATTATAGATCATCAATTTAAATCTGGTAAGATGGCATGCAGAAATTATAATGTGTGTGTGTGTGATTATGGCAAAGCCTCGAGGGCTATCTGCCTAAGAGGAGGGATGCCTTCGTGGAGGACTTTCTAAGGGAAACTGGCTCGTATACATGTTACACATGGGGAAAACCACGAAAACGCCCATGCAGCCAGCCCGTTCGCGGGATTCGAACCTCGGACCGAACTACCAGTGTTCAGCGACTTTACCGCTCGGCCGCTGGTGGGCTGCAGAAATTATAAAATTAAAAATATGAAACTGTAATTTATGAAATAAAGAGCAATTGTGATCTAAAGGGTATCAAAATTTACCAAGAAAAAAGCTTAATATTTATTTGTTTACTTTATTAAACATTCCTTCAATGAAGTTTTTAAGTTGCTTCGTTTTATGATAATACTTTCTCTTTAATTCTATAAACAGAAAATTCTTGTTCAGTTACAAAGTTTCGCTGTTCAAAGTCCTGTAATTGCTATATGCCGAGAATACCGACTAACTTGTCAATCGAAATTTTTTCGTTTTTCTCTGTCACTTTTTTCATGCCTTTTTCTCCATTTTTTGCAGCAATTCCACTTTTTGTTGATGGACATCGAAACTGCTTTCACTTTTGTAGATCCTTTGGCGCTCAGAATCGGAAACTCTTTTTGACATAATCTAAAGTTCAAGCTTACTTTTTAAAAAATTGCTCTAACAGTCTGCAAAAAATAATAAGCCAGATCCAATTAGAAGATTAAGGAACAACGCAATTTGCAACATTAACTAAAATAGATAATTAGATAATTTTAGCCTAGCTTATACCATCCGTTATATATTAAACGAGCATGGGTAAATGTATTATGCGCATATGTAAACGCGACGCATATGCAGAAAGTTTGTAGCTTTGAGGTCTGGATTATAGATCATTCCAGATTATGGACGTCTGGATTAAAGACTTTGTACTGTATAATATATGATTATATATATAGCATACTATTTCAAGGGATGATACATACAAAAACCATTCTTTTTTTCAGCAAACTAATGAAAAATGATTACAGCAACACAAAGGAGAATAGTAAGAATTCTAGAAACAATACCAGAAAATGGAAGGAAATTTTTAACAGAAAAGTGTAAATTTGAAAATAAAGAAGGACGAGTCTAAGACTTTGTGATTGTGATGCCCTCTTGATATAATTCTAGCTGCCAAGCAGAAATTTTCCATGGATACGATACGATAACAGCGCGAGAATAAACATAAGATTCCTCGATACAAATGACAGTACGGGTCCCCAGCATTTTGTTATATCGTTAAAAAAGTGTACAGGAGCTCTGCAGAAGGAAATCACTAGTGTGGCATGTGCATGTCCAGTGATGCCTTTTAGCCCTTTCAGGAAAGAAAAATTAAACCACTCTCATAAATTCATTGCATTTCCTGGAAACTCAGCTTTTAGCATGTAGGTAGGTGCTTTTCTTTCCTCAAAAGGCTCAAACTCTGCATTCTGAAGTTGGAATCAATATTTAAGACATAGTTTTTACTAAAATTAATTCTTTTGGGCTGAAATTGTGGTTGACATACATAAAAGAAGTGTTGGAGCCCTTTTATTTAGGGCTTTGGCTAAAATTATGATTTATCTCAAAAACTAAGAAGCACTGGAGCTTTGGTGCATTTTAAGCTCCGGAACATGGTCATGAATTATTTTTATAACTAAACTAAAATTTAACCTCTATTATCTCATCTCACTTCTACAACAAGTATGACATGGAATTTAATGCTGCAAGTAAGCATTAACCCTCCACCCATGAATGAGTTTCATCATTTTCAGTAAAAGAATTGAGCACAATTTATAACTTGCATAGACTTGTCATAAACAAAATTTTAACCCATTCAGAGCAGTGATCACATATGCATGATCACCGATTCTTCTTTCATATTTTATGGTACAGTATATGTAACCATCCTTTCCGAGTCTTGAGTCCTTGATTACAGTACTGTGATTTCAAATCGAAATGCTTTGTTTAAGTTTTTAAACAATACTAGATGATGGATATACTTTAGAATAATATTCCACAGAACTTTGATCTGCAATGTGTCCTTTTGCTTTTGAATTTTTTTTGTTTAATTAATGTTCTACTAATTTATCTATATTTTGAATACTTGCATGCAAGCTCATAAAATTTTTGTCATTTACATACACTGCAGGGAAAAAAAGGTCATGTAAATTTTTATATTCGTTAAAAAACAGCTAAACTTCCACAAAGTAGATAACCAGACACTAACAGGATTTTATAAACGCAAATACTTCATTCATTTTGTTTCTATATAAAATTTTGACACACTATGTAGTTTTACTAGCAATTTATTCAAATTTTTAAAGTATTCATTTTTTTCCAACAGCATATACATCTTTTTTTTTTTTTTTTTGTTTAATAAAATGAAACCATTTTCTCCAAAATTTGCATTAAAAAAATCACGAAAATTTTTTGGTGATATATTCAGATACTATCAATGATAATAAGGTGTATATTTCAATGTATTTAATGGCAATAATGGATTTAACTGAAATTAGGTTTATTGTGGAAAATCGCCTGGTTCCATATGTCCATATACTTTTGGAGCGCGGCTTCAGGGAAGTGCTTCTTTCTCCTTTTGCCAGTCCTGAATGGGTTAATGCAAAATTAAAATATATTTAAAAAAGTCAAACTAAGTGGAAGAAAAGAATATAATTGTATTTATTAACTTAAAAATTAGAGGAAATGCAAATACTGTATTTAACCAAAATACAGAACATAAGATATGATTAAAATTTTTCTGAGAGTGGGTTGAACATAACAACATATGATTAAAATTTTTTGAGAGTGGGTTCTGAGAGTTCCTTAAAACATGGCTGGTTCCATTACTTAATTCAATATTACTATCTTCATATCAGGTTCTTACTTACTTTCCTTCCATTAACACTTTTTTTTTTTTTTTTTTTTAGTAAGGGGAAACATTTTACAATAAAAATCTTCACATGAAATAAACATCTCAACTTCACAAGCATCTATGAATCACAGTCAAACCCCGTTATAATAAACCCAGCTTATAAAGAACCACTGGATATCACGAATAAAGCTTTTGGTTCAGTCCAGTTTCTTATACACTTAATGTTATTTTATACCATTATAGCAAATTCAAAGAATGTCAAAATTGGATAAAAGAAATTACAGATATCTTTGAATGGAACACTTTTTTTTTTAACTTTTCATATTTCTTTGCAGAATTTCTACAAATTTTAATAAACAAATTATAAACTGTTAAAATCATCCACGTTTAGGATATTAGAATCCACAGTCCTTATGCCATCTGTACAGGAAAACAGTTTTATGGTACTTTTCTTTTATCTTCAATAGTGAAGTTGAAAGCTCTGTGCAACGAAAGCCATGTGTGATGTCTGTTTAGTTAAAAGGACATTTACATTGATTTTGCAGCCTAAGAGTGCCATTGAGTTAACTTTAATTTTTAAAAAATTTTTTAAAAAAATTCTTATAGTGAAAGCTTGAATTTGTATTGATTTAGATTCATATGCCGCAAACATTTACTGTTGGCTTTTATAAACAGCCTGCAGTTAGCTCCTTTTACAAATGAAATGGAGGGGGAAAAATAGATTTCAAAATAATTATTGCATTAATTTGTTCTATCTTACTACCAACAGTCGACTGCTTGTATCAGATCATTCTCTTCGTGTTCACTTAACAATTATGGTTTTCTTCAAATGTTGAACTTTCATTTTTTTTTTTTTTTTTTTTTTTTTTTTTTTTTTTTTTTTTGTAACCAATTTGTTCCAAAAATGTCCCTTTTTAGAAATTAAAGTTTCATTTAAAAATTAGCTTAAAAAAATTAATTTCAGCTTAAAGTCCTCCAACTATTAAAATTTAAATTAATATGTATTATAATATGTACATATATAGAGAGAGAAAGAAAGAAATTTAGAGCCAATTTTTTACAAAGACCAAAAATTGAAATTCAAATGAACTTCAAAATATCCTATATATCAATATAAAATCACATTTATATGTAAAATATTATAATATTACAATATCATTATTATTTATTAACATTAGTACAGTGTGAAATTTCATCTTCAAACTTTATACGCTTTATATTTCAGAAAAAAATTTCATATATATTCAGTACGAAAATATTTTCTCATGAAATCGGGGGGTACTAGAATAGTGATCATGCTGCAAATGGACTGCTTTTGCCAGCTCTTGACAAAACTGTGAATTAACAAGAAACAAAAATATGACAAAACATTAATGAAGACCATAAACTCTTCTAGCTCATACATGTGCTGACAAATCAAATTAGTCCTTGAAGTGATGCATATACAGCATGCGGGCAGATCAGTTAAGTGGTTAGTTGCAGTTAATAATTGTAAGATCTTATATCATGAAATTAAGTGCTGGAAAGTTACCTCATGTAATTAATAATGCAAGTGACTGAAATCACTCTCTGCACATTTTACTTGAAACATAATTTGTATTTTCAACATGTCAACAAGTGCATTTTTCAGTTAAAACTTCAGTACAGCTCCTGGATATACACCAGACATGCCTGAACTCTTTTTAGTTTAAAATAATAATTCTGAATCTAGCATTAGCTAATTTGAAACTATGATTAATCATCAAACTTCTGAATTTTTAAAACAAATATTTAGCGTAGAAAAACCCTACCTTTTGTGGAAGCTGGTGAACTCAAAGTTGATTCTGTTTCAACATCTAGTAAAAATAATATTAAATGTATTCAACACAACACAGAAAATGTATTTCATACAAGAGAAATAAAAGGCATTAAACATGAAAGTAGTTAATTCAGAACAGGACTAATATTTTTTCCCGTATGAAAAGTCTGCTTTTCACATTGATTTATTAGTGGTGCTAATCTTACTCATGGCAAAGGCAGGATGCAAAAACAATTTCACATTAATTAAGAGTAAAGAAGTAGAAATGTGCCTTAGCTATCTTATTTTGCAAATCAAAATTTTACAGTTATATACAATTAGCACGATTTCATTCTTATAAATGAAATTTCTGCGAACTTTCTTGAACATGTCACAAATGATACCCATACATTTCTTCACACTCAATTAACCTTTGAAGCAATTTATCAAAACGAGTTAATGATGCCAAGTTTATGCAACATTTATATTTATGTAAGAAACTAGTATTTAATTTTTAATTTCTCAGTCATTATGACTTTACATTTAAGACATAAAAGACCTACCTTTTGTTGTAGCTGGTGAACTAACCAAAATGACTGGTGGCTCCGTTTCAATATCTAATACAAAAAACATGCAATATATTGGAGAATATGTTTTGCTAATGTTTTTTGCATATAATGTAAATATTCTTTGCATATAAAACAGGCAAAATATGCAATTTAAATATGAACCAAATATATACTCATTAATTAGGATTTTAATAAAGCAAGCACTATTTGATATGATCATGTTCCTCTGAAGTTATTTCAATAACATTAAACGAAAAAATATTTTTCAAAATAGCAGTATAACTAATTTAATATAACATATAAATCCTTTTATAGAATTTTAATGTGAGAAAAGTCATCTATAGTGGTTTGTCTATGAACTATTCGTATTAAAAATGTTTCTGGAAATTATTTGACTGATGCTGCAAACCCTAATCTATTGTTGTTGTTGTGATTAATCTTGCTCATCTGATATCAGAGCAAGCCCACAAAATTCATCATGGCAAGGAGTCAAAAGAAATTTTTATTGAACTCTAAGATTCCTATATGCTTCTTTCAAACACCTGCAGACTAGTGCATCAGTGTGGCTAATGACAATACACTGACTGATGTCACCATGACACACTTCTGGCCCTTGAGTGGTTGTGGATGAAATTGGCATTTTTCTATCTGAACTAAACAATAAGTAAAGCCTCAAAACATGTTCGTTTGGAGTGCAATGCTGCTAATACTAGTTTTCTTTTGTTGAAATAGCAGCAGGAAAGACAACTCTTGTGACGGGACAACTTCCGTTCTAAAACTATAGCCAATCGGAATTAAGTGCTGCCCACGCATGTTCCCATTTAAACTGTTGCGACCCCACTGCCCAAGGGCAGATGAGACAATATCAGTACGGTCCCTGCTGAGCCTACACCATCCCGAGTAAACTCAGGCACAGCCTGTGAAGACCGTTTTTCTACCCTCGTGGTTGAGACTGTCTAAGTACAGATCCTAGCCAATACTTCCCAGGAATTCTACTGAGTCAATCCCCGAGGGGACAGCAGGAAAGACAGAAAGGACTAGATTCCAAAGAACTTAACATAGCAAATTGAGTTCTTCCTTAATTTTTTCATTTGATCCAGCTTATTATTATTACAGCTATCTTAACAAAATTAAAATTTTAATTAAAGTTAATTAATTTAATTATTTTAAAAAAAGAATTCCTAATTCTAGAGCTACAACAAAATATGCAAAAGCACATTCAGCCCTTGCATTCCATAGCGACCCTGGCAAGAGTAACCGGTGTTAGTGCAACTCAGTCTTAAGAAAGTATGATTTCAAAATTAGGTAAATTAACAAGCTTATTTTTGTGTAGATATTAAACACTATAGAAGGCAAAAGTTTCCAGTTGATCGAATTTGTTCAGAAGTGATAAAAAACGAAAGAGGATACAAGAGAAAAATTTCCATTATAATGATAAAATTCAGAAGAACAGAGGTACTATTCAAGTTATTTTAAGTATCTGTTAACAAAAAAAAAAAAAAAAAAAAAAAACCACCTATGTTAATTTTAAAACATACATTTTAAAAAGGCTACTTTATACCTGCCTTTCAGCATGTACAGCACTTTCATATTCATTCATTAAATGATGGATGTACAATTTGGAAGAAAGAATAAGGTGGAGACATTTTCTTTTATTAAAACTTAAACAAACAAATGTGTGTAATCAGGACATTTTTTGCATCATCCAATAAAAAATCGGTTTTTAGTTATCTGCACAGATCATATTATTCAGCATATTTTCATAAGAAGTGACAAATGTAATCAACTTTTGCTGAATTGTAATTATGTATGATGCAATAGTTAACAGTTCTGCTGAATTAATTCAGTTTCTGTATTCTCGAAAAACAAATGGTGCTGCAACAATTTTTTTCATTATTTGAAAAGCTTCACTGACTTCCATTAAAAACACTAAGTTTCATAACAGAGATACTCACATGTATTTTTTACAACATACATAAAGCCTCCCACTGTAAAGCACATTTCCATATCATTCTGTTTGATTGCAATGTAATACATTTTGATTTAGTTTAAGTATTAATTTATGAATTTAGCCGATTTATTTTAATTTATATCATTATTTTCGCCCTCTGAACATGTGTGATTTATTTTATAAAGTTCAAAAAATCTTTCAACATACGCATTCAAAAAAGGAGTTACATATTTAATATATGTTATTTGATGCATTTGTTTTTATAGTGCACCATTTTTTCAATCATAATAATAACATTTATATTTCAAAAGGTTTCAATTTCTTCAGAAATGCACTCGGCAATTTCTTTTACAGCAAATTGTTTTGGGTTGCTTTTTAAAGTGCCACTATTTCTAAATTCCTACACTTTCTGTCTTTAGTAAAGTAAATATTCTTCATTAATAAATCACTAGAAAAGATGTTACGCAATAAGTTATTTCATGATCAGTATTAGACTATTTAGTTCCCTATATTCATTACTCTAGCCTTGATAAAATAGTTGCCTTCGTTGCACCCATGTAAAATGACTTTTATTTCACAAGTTATCTAAGCAAATTTCAGTTCATCTTCATTTACATACTTTCATATCCAGATATGGCTTCAAATTACATTTATAATTAAAGAAGCACTCATGCCTAATAAGAAATATAACACAGTCACTATTTTATATTATAACTGCAACTGATTGAACAGATACAAATATTAACTGAGCTAAAGAAATTGCACATCAGATCCATATAGGTCCATATGAAAGACAAAATATGAGTGGCCAATATCTTCTACATCCTAAAATTTAGGTTAGACAGAAAGAAGTGCAACTGCTGTACTTCAACAGCACACATGCTGAAAGAATAATTCAATGGAGAAGTCTATAAATGGTGAAGGATTCCTTGAAAGGGTGTACATTTAAAAATGTTTTGGGATATTACACATAAGATTCCTTTTCCTGCTCATCCATACTGTTACTGCAACATACTAGAAGATTTAAATTTTATACTACGTACTCTTTATTAATGTATTTAAATTGCAAAATGTTTCTGCTCTTCACTCATAACAACATAACAAACATTTTACTAATATGAATTAGAGTTTAAAGAAAATTAAATATGAAGTTAATTTTACATATATAAAACATAGCCACCCAGAGTAGAAAATTCTTTCCATACTTGCACAATATCTCTGCCGTTCCCCCCCCCAAGACTGTTAAAAATCAAATTAGTTAATTACATACAAATTTTCAGTTTTCGGTGAAGGATATCTAAAATCAAATTTTAAAAAAAAAATTTTTTTACTCACTCTATAAATAGAGTTTTTAATTCTGACAAGGAAATAGTATATGCCATTCCAAAATATCATAGACTTTTAGAAATATGCAAAATCTATACGGGTCTATACAAAGGGATCCTTGAATGAACGTGATACACAGAGGAATGGTAATCCGCGAATTGATTGCATCACAATTGCAAATAAAATAACCAAGATTCACTTATTTTTTGGCCACTCGTGATTGGAAGAAAAAAAAAAAAAAAAAAAAAAACATGCTTACTTCATGATATCTTCGATTAGTTTTGGGAAGAAATTAAACATTACAGTTTCTGATCTGATTTCTGTTCTTTAATAAAACTGCATGATTATGTTTTACTCTCAATTAGTTTATTACATACTGGATAAAAAAGGGTACTTTCAGAAAATAAACTGCTCCTAAGTAATGAAATACAAATCAAAAAAATTAATTAAATGCATAATATAACATATCAAATAACAAGTTTAAAGCAAAATATTTGACATACCTGGGCAATGCGGCGGATGAACATTCCATTCACCAGTATCTAAGCATTTGGCAGTCTTTTGAACACCACCACTCTTACACTGAAAAATTACAAGATCACCAGCTTTGTAAATACTTTTATTAGGAAGGGCACGCATGTTCTTTAATGTCTCAGGAGCTGAACAATTGATTTCTATAATTAGAATATAAACACTTAGTTTCAAAAACGAATGTTTTAACTAATTACAATAAAGAGCAGGAACAGTAACAATGCACAGACAAAAAAAAAAAAAAAAAAAACTATGAATTTTATCAATATACTTTCCTATAATCTACCTTTTAACCAAGCTTAACCCTTTTACTACAACACATTTTTGTTCATGTTTCACAAATCATTTGACCCTATAACATTTTAGTTCTTTTGCTAATAATACTATGGCAAACATTAATCTAAATCTTGCAGTTATTATATTTATTTATATAATCTAAGAATTTACCATTATATTGAATACGTAAAATTAAGTACATAACTGAATTGAAGGATAATAAATTGCATTATACATAATTTTCACAATTATTATTAGAACATTCTTTAAAAACAAAAACTGAACATTTAAAGTATGCATTATTTTCAAGCTACTGAATGACCATAATAATAACTCTCTAGTACACTTTTTAACCTTCCTAGTTTATGTCTGATTGAAGTATTTTTAGAATAGGTTGGTGCTTCTGTAGATCTTTTCTCGCTAAAGAGTTGCTTATTTCCAAAAGAAACTGAACTCTTCTATATTTCATTTCCCGTCACAAGTTGACTTTAGATGCAACCAAATCACAAAGCCATTTGTTGCACTAATATCTAACATGTGGTGAAAATTATCAAGGACATCATCTTGTTATTCCCCTTGTTAAATATATATCAGTATTATATTAACTCCTGACTTTGCTCTATTCTAATCTTGAATTATAGCTGGTTATGCTACCTGAATACTTTCAATTCCAGTACAAAAATACAGTGTACTACGAAGAGATATAACTTTTCATTTCTCATATGTCAGGATGGAATCTTTGCTAACTTTTGAAATCCAAAGAATTTACAGTGAAACTCTGGTTCAAAAGTTTAATTCCTTCTTGAAGGCTGTTCGTCAAAGGAAAGGTTTTTAAACTGAAACATTTTCTCCTGTAGGAATTGAAGAAACATTCATCAATTCATTCTGGGACCATATATGATTGTAAATTTTACAAGAGTACTATGTGCATAAGTTCATAACCTAAAATTAATGATTACAAAGCCCTTCTCCTCCCCCAAAAAAACATTAAACAGATAATATATATGAAGACTCAATTTAATTTTACTGTACCTTTACAAATGATGGTACACAGTATAAGTGGCAAATGATAAGAAAGATGTTATTGTTTAGATGTGAATTCCCTTCCATCACAACAGAAGGTAACCTTTAGAGGGAATATTCTTTCACCTTTTCTTTGCATCCACTTGACTTTGTCTCATTTTATTCTCCACTTGATAGAGTCCATCTAATTTTGAGACTCACTGGGTTCCATTTCACTCAAAATTTGACCAATGTGATTTGCTTTTACCTATATCTTAAAATGTTTTTAAAGTGAGACATGTCATTGTATTTGAATCCACTTATGTTGCACTTTGCAATTGCTTTATTAGATTGATAACAATATGTAAAAACTTTAGATCTTACTCCACTCTGCACAAATTCCCCAGATTACAGAGCTAGGATATTTTCTTTTTTTAAAGGCAATTCTGCAGTCACTCTTTGTTTGCTGTTGAGCTCATTTTTAGAGTCTTCTAATAACTTCGCTAGGTCTGCAATGTCCTGAAAATCACTTGTTTCTAGATTTCTTTAATGAGAGTCAAGCAATTGAAAAGATTAAAATGACATTTCCAGAAGTTCCTGATTGTTAATTATGTGGTAAAAATTACCTAAAAAAAGTTTTGAAAATCATACATTGCCGACTTGAGTTTTCATAACACAATACACATTCATTATCTGAGACATATTCTGTTCAGGTAGTATGTTTGTGAATCAAATTGTTCATGAAAAAGGGCATTTATGGTCCAAGCGACTGCATTTCTCTTTTGTTGGAAGCTACAAATACCTGAGTTAATTTACTTAATTTCAGTATCGCACCTAAAGTATCGATTCCATGTTTTTGAGTTCTTTCACTAGTTCTCAATCTTACATTGAAGTTTCTGCTGTGATATTTCTTCCATTCCTTCTACATTACACAAACAACTCAGACTAACTTCTCTATTACTTTCTTACATACTTGTGCTTGAATACTGTATGAGTAAAAAGTTTTACTGTCTTAAGTAGATGTTTACTCATACAGTATTCATTCCTACTTAGCTAATTTTGAAGAAATGTACTGGCTAAATAAGCATTTACCTCTAAAAATTACTAACTGTTCATCAGCAGTTAATTCTTATGGACAATGTACCTATTTTGTAAAGCGTCAGTCCAAAATTTAATTAATTTCTTGTTGGTGAGACTTTGCGATTTGATCGATTTTGGCATCTAATTTAATATCAACAGACCAAATTCCATTGGGATATTTGCACAAATTTGTTTTTCGTGACAGACATTAAAAATCGTACATTAGTCATTTTCTCCTATAAATTTGTTACTACCTCATTAAGTGCTTTATATATTCCATCAAATATCAACAGTCCAAAAAGCATAGCATTTCTTTTTTGCCAATATTTTTCTCAATTATTTAACCATATTAGAAAAGATTCAATGCAATTCAGTTTCACAAAAAGTTTAAAAGTAAACTCTATAGTACATACATTTCTATTTGTAAAACCTGAAAGAGATCATGTAGTTGACTAAATCTAATATTCAAATTTATGTAGTTGACCAAATCAAATCTTTTTTAAATTAATAAAGAGAATTAGATCGTTTATTTAGATTTTAGTTAAAATTAAAAAATAACAAGCGTTCTGATGTAAAGCTTTTAATACTCTATAAAAATATACAATTTTAGAAAGAATTACTGCTACATTAACTTTCTTTTTAATTTGGTATACTTCCTATTTTTAAATTGCATTAAACTTCAAAAAAGTTTTTCCTCACAAAAATACTCTTTTCATTAACCTTTTCCAGACAGGCATCCCATATATGCATTCCCTAAGAACGTCTCTTACAGCCGGGCATCCCATCCAAGCATCACTAGAAATTGCATTCAGAGGACAGGAGATGCGTATACACATTTTAAGCTGGAATGTTTTTCTGAAGACCACTAGATGGCATCCTATGTCCATTACTTTTGAAATGAACACAGTTTTAGGTTCCTGACTTTGGTATTTTACTCATCAACTGTTGCAAGGGTGGAGGGGAAGCGTAAACAGAGGTGGGCTCTTTAAATCGCCACATGCTAATATAAACATTCACATGCAATTTATATCAAATTCCTTTTTTTTTAAATTCTATTGTTCCTCTAATATGTACAGTGTTTTAGGGTTACTATGTGGAGCTCTGTTACCTTTTGCATTGCCTTCAGATATATTTCTGATTCCTCTCTTATTATTTTGGAAAGCCTCACCTCCAGTCTATACCTAGCAACTTTAATGAAATGGAGGAGGAAGGAAGTGTAACTTCTTAAATGAATTAAGATGTCTTTCACTCATGGAATGCTCATATTTCTTTTAAATACACTTTATGCAGCAAACTGAATCTCACAAGATAAATTCTGTCATATTCTGTTTTTTGGGTGGATGGGTTCTGAATATGTGTTTCCTTAACATGCACTAAATGTGGGCATTAGATAAACCAGCCATTTAACGGCATAAAAACTTTATTAACACATGAACAAAATAAGAACAAACGATTAACACACAAATAGAACCACGTTTATCATTATGCTGGCATACAGCGGGTTACTTTCGTTACTTCGCTACTAACAGTCTCTTCTCTTCTACTAACAGTCACGTGAGAGAGAGGCGTTGCAGGCCATTCGGCTAAACTGTGCATGTGCAGTTCATCTCATCATGACACCTACCCTCTAAAAGATTTGATTGTGTCTTTCAATGACTTGCCAAATCCACACATATAAACATATCTTGAAACAAAACAAAATAACATTCATGAAATTTTCAAAATTAATTAACAAATTCTTATCATTTTAAATTAAAATTACTTCAACATATATTAAGTAATCTTAATCATTTAAAAGATGTAACATTCAATTAACTTTTTAACTTAAATCTTTCACATTATCATAATCACATAAGCAGTTATCATATAAACAAGACAATACAAATCAGTCATTAAAATTAAACATAATACTTTAGCAAACCCTGGGTAAATCATTAAACATATTGCATAACATTAGAAACAAAAAATCAAAAGCTTAGCATTTTAGCTCTAAAAAATGTTCACACTAAATAGTCAAAATGTCTTATAGTTCATAACGTCAGTCATGCTCCACTCACTGGAGAATATAATCATGTCATTAAGTCACGTCATCAATAAACTCAGCATAGGCTTTTAGTCTACACACATTACTATTCCCTTTTGTTGACACACAAACTACTGGATGCACATATTTACTTTCTGATTCAACGATTAGCTTTAGCTGTAATAGCTCATCTATTTGTCGATCAACTTCATTTCTTAGAACTTCATATGGTATCCGGTACAGTTTCTGCTCTTTAGGCACACTTCCAGGCTTTAGTTTGATGTTATGTTCTCCAATATTAACGATTTTCGGAATACTAGCTCTTAGGTTCGTACGTCTTCTTAAAACTTCTGCAAGTTCTTTCCCCTTATGCGGTTCAAGGTGCATAAAATTACATTCTTCATTAGTGTTCTTTTGCTTTCATTGGAACAATTCTTGGGATGTTTTCAACTTCACCAAAATCAATGTCTGTATCAGATATCACACCGACATTATTCACAGCAGTCTTGAACTCTCGTATCTTGTTTGCGTGAATGTGCTTCGAAGAATTGTCAGTACAAATGCCTGTGTAACTATAATTAGTATAATTTTTCATGATCGCAGCAGGTCCCGTCCATCTGGCATAAACTTTTTTTTTACTATTAGGGATTAAAACTATAACCCTGTCATCTTTCTTGAATTCTTTATGACGAATTTTTCGGCTATGGTAGAATGCATAAGCTTCGTCTGCAGCAGGAAATAAATACAAGATTTACATGACTAAGTGATCGTAATTTCAAATTTAGATATTTCCTGGACATTGAAAATTTATTAAACAAGGCAAATGTTGATACTGATCTTGAAAAAAATTAAAAAAATTTAAGTGAATTTTATAATACAGATTTTAATGGAACAGAAAATATGTCGAAATATGTGACTGTAAGGTGTTACTCTGCAGCAGAAATGAAACTGAACCTGAAACTCCATTACAGATTCTTATCTTTATAAACTCATATGGAGAAAATGTTTTTCCAAACCTGAGATTCACACCTCAAATACTCCTTACTATCTTATTATTGTATTCATTGTATTATTATTATTGTATTGCATGCTTTCCATTTTTTATACCCTCTAACATTAAAACTTCCAAGTTTACAAGTTAATGCATCTAATTTATTGTTCTAATTTCAAGCGAGTTACAAAAAAAAAAAAAAAATTAAATAAACATAATTCTTCATGGCGAATGGGAACATAGCAATTTCAAATGAACAAGAAAATAAATGCACCTTCATGAAAATTGGAAAAAATTAATCAGGATAAAGTATTTTTGCAAATAAATTACAAAATATTTATAACCTTCTGTCTTCCAACAAAAATTTCAGTTTTAAAAACCTAAAATGCAGCTAATTATTTTTATTACTTCTGAGCTCCTTTAATAACTTTTATGTATATTTTCATAAAATGTCATTAAAAAACCTTTTATTTACTATTAAAAATCCCTTTAAAAAAGCATATACAGCTGAATCAGCTCATTATCTGACTAAAATTATCAGTTGCTTAATAAAAATTATAAAAAAAGAACAATGCAGAAACATGCCTGATCTTCAACAAGGTAAAGTAGGTGCAGTATATTGACATTTCAATGCATCTAAAAACTATTAGAAAAATTGTAACACATGAAAAAATGTTTGGCATTTCAGTGTATTCTCATGAATTACAATGGGATTACAGGTGCGGTGCAAGATACGCAGTGAAAGGATGGTGAGAAGCACCACAGTGCTTTATAGCCCTCTTCTGTTGCTCAGACGTGAATCAAAAGTCTGTAGATAGGATAAAGAGTAAAAATTTCATAAATGAACAGTCTTGGAAGAAAAAGTGACAGTTGATTGCCCTGTGTATTTTCAAATTTCAAAAGATTTTCTGCTATAATGTGGTATATCCAGTTAATCTGAATTAAATTTGTCTTTTTTTGGAAATCTAGGATGACTACAAGTTGAGAAGTCATGACGAAATGGATTCTGAAGATACTCACTTTGAATTTCTGCATGGGTATTCATTACAACTAATAGTATATCAAATTCCAAAAGAGAAAGTTACCTTTACATACTGGTGGACTACCACTCCAAGTGCCATCAGCTTGACATGTTCGTTCCGACAGCCCAGACAATATGAAATTTCTGTCACATTTATATGTTGCAACAGAATGAAGCCTTTTCTGAGAAAAAATTACTTTTCCATTTTGAGGGTCATTGAGTGATGGGCAAACAATAGCTAAAATATATTATTTGATACATTAATATTTAACCAAACAAATATAAAAATATTCACATTATGAGTAAATAAACTAAAAAATACAAACAATATATTCTAACCTCTGTCAGGTATGGGTACATCTTCTAAAATCATGCAAAAATTTAACCTTCGCTTGGCATCGATTTTAAATAAAATTCTATCAATTGTAAAGGCAATCAAATGTACGTCCCTCTTCATCAGGAAAAAAATATTTTCTCAAAGCTGGGAGAAGCAATAACTGTATTTATGGTGAAATTGTTGGTTTAGCACAGAAAATGTAAATATACCATCATATGACAAAGAAAACCATGATGTAACGTGAAAAGATATGATGCGAGAATTTAGAAATTGTGTTAATGATATGGATTAGAATTAATATCATTAACAAAAGAGTTTTAGAAGGTAAATGTAAAATGCTTAAATCTACCTATGATGATGAAGATACTAATGATACCAATTCTAGTTCAATAACACTAATTTCAAACCAAACCTTTCTAGCACTTTCGAAATTTTAACATTTTAGTCTTCATATTTCATTACTGAATTCCAGTACATTTGTTTTTCCTTTGATTCACTATAAGTATAGGTACTGCTCCACCCTCTTTTAAAAAAAAAGTTTTGCTCCTCAAGAAGTGGAATCATCAGATTGCCCTGAAACTGACAGTTTTGTTCAAAACCTACGTCAATCTAAAGCTACTTTTGCCTAATTTTATATTCTATCAGAATAGTTCTCTTCCAATCAGGCATATCTGACAAAAAATTACATCACATGTTTTTTCTTCTTACTTTAGCTCTCCCCTTCCCCACGAAAAAAAAGTTCTACAAATTACTTTTATGGAAGCAACACAAAAAATGTTCTGACATTAAAATTTAAAAAAAAAAAAAAAAAAAAGTATTAACTTTTTTCAGAGTTATTTAATTTTATGCATTGTTTTATTAGCAATTACGAGGAAGGTAACTGTAATGAAAATAGTCAATACATCATATACAAATTTGCCAATAAATAAACCAGTAGCCAATTATTTATGTAATTTTTTCCAATCTTTTCTTTAAAATTTCAAATAAGGCATAATTGTTAAACATTCTTCACTTTCTCTCTATGTTGCTAATCTTGGTTTGGTTTGGTTTGATTTATTAGATTACGGCAAAGCACTCGAGGGCTATCTGCCTTAAGGAGGGATGCCTTCGTGGAGGACTTTTTAAGGGAAACTGGCTCGTATACACGTTACACATGGGAAAAACCACGAAAACATCCATGCAGCTAGCCCGTTCGCGGGATTCGAACCTCGGACCGAACTACCAGTGTTCAGCGACGTTACCGCTCGGCCGCTGGTGGGCCTGTTGCTAATCTTGATACAGTGGGAATGTTTGAACTTACTAGTCATTTAGTTGTCTCATCGTCAAGAATGCTGTTCATGATACACCACAGAGGGTAGAACAATACTTAACATATGGGAAAAAAAGAACACACAAAAACAACAAAGCCACAGCATGGATTCCGACTTCAGAAATCCATAGCCAGGGTTCAGACTAACACTATACAGAGTGACAGATGCAAGACATCCCTACTTCAATTATTGGTAAAAAAAGAATCCAGTTTTGATGTATGAAAGAATAGTTCTCGATTGCATTCTTTAGTCCAATGATTTCCATTCACTATTAAAAGTTAAGTTCTCATGTTATTCCTTTAAAAATACATTTTATGAATAAATTTTTGTAGAAAATAAAAATATGTTGCAAGAAAAAAGTTATAATGGCTTATAGAAATTTTAATTTACATAAGCAGAATTACATGCAGAAAATTTGGTATTAAAATACTTAATTAGAGTGTGCAGGCTAACTATGCTAAATGTGTTTAGTACATACATCTTCTTGAAATATATCCTCTTCAAAATGAACACTCCGATCTGCGATAACTTTACAACATAGATTTTCTATTTGTCTCTAGAAAAAGAGCATGAAGGATTCTAAGAAATATACTGCTTTTTGCTGAAATCTACGTGAGAAGAAGTCACAGATGTTGAGGTTAAAAATTTCACTCTTCTTAAAAAATATCATCACTTTAATGGTGAATATTCTGTTGTTTAATTTCATTAATTCAAAATCATTACCAACACCATAACCAAAAATAACTGTGAACACTAAAATTTGCATTGTGTCGTTTTTAAATCTAAAGTTCGGAGATTCTTTTGTACTAATTAATGCAAAGCAATTAGCTTTTCTAAAATGCTAATTGAAATTAAAGTTAACTATTAAGAGAAAATAGGTTAAAATAGCATGCTGAATAATTATTATTGGAGAAGTCAAACAACATGAATCAGTGTAATATTTGTAAATTTTGCAGGACTAGTTTCGATGGTTTAACTACAGAACCACTTCCCTCAGCTGTCTAACTGCAAATGAACGAGATACTATATAGTGATAAGAATGGCTGGACCGAAGTTTAACTACTGGCGCCATCTATTGATGAAACAAGAAAGCTAAAATATAATTCCCTTAAAGGTGGATTGCAATTAAGGTCGTTAACTAGAACAGAGATTTTTTTTAATATGAAATACCTCTAGAAAATTTAATTCATTAATGGAAGATGTTTTTTGAATAATTTGGGTTGCAGAAAAATGGAAAATCCGATTTTCAGACCAACAGTGCTGGACAACAGAGGATTTCTATTTCCTTTTCCCTAACATATGCCTCATGCTCTCTAACACTAACACAAAATTTTAAGGCTCTCTTAGTTTGACCAACGTAAATTAAACCACACTGGCGAGGAATCCTGTAAATACCCTAGGAATTCATATCCAGAATGAATTTTTTAACTGCTTGGTTAATAATGTTGGATGATAAGCTCCTGTCAATAGCAAATGCTTTTAAATAGTTTAGTTCTTGATAAGGAGCCAATTCGGAAGAGCAAAGTTGAAGTGTACAGAAAACAAAGGAATAAAATGAAGTTAACTTCTGTTTCATTGGATGAGATGATTTGAAGAGTGGTGGAAGGCAAACCGACAAAAGTTTACAGTAAACAGTAGAGCTGAAGTTGGCTATATTACGTGTGATGAAAATGTTGAGGAACGGAAGAGAATTGGACGTCTTAAGTTCAAAAGTGAACCAAATAGCAGGATCAGTGAAATTCATTACCGAAAGAATTTAAATCATAAGCTCATTAATTTTGATGCAGGAGAAATGAAATTGACGAAACCTGGTTTCTAGATATCTTAATGAACCTTTCACTAGAATATGATGAATAATGATTTTACATCAAAAGAAACCATGAGTAAATTTCTAGGAGAAATGCTTTTAACTCTTTTTATAAACTCTATTGAATTTTTTATGGAGTAAATGTTATCTATATATATCAAGATTAATGTCTGTTTGTTCGTGATTAACTAAGCCACTGGTAAAACTATCGTCACCAAGCTTTCTACAATTCTTTTCTGGGTCCTGAAAAAGGTTGATGTCCACTTTTTTTTTTTTAAACCAAGGACATTAATTAAACACTCTGAATATGCTGATTTTCGTGCTCATTTTTCCGAGTGGCAATAGTCTCGCTCGCTGGAGATACAAATCTACTTTATTTCAAGAAGTGTTGCCATTGCTTGCTTTCAAATCGTAGAGTTTATTAATAAAAAATTTCCAAGTTTTACAATGAAATAAAAATAGCATTGCCAAACATTAAATACATTACTCCAGAGTCCAAAAATTCGTAGGAAGCCATTTTGACTATCCCCATCTTTGCATGAATTTAATCAGCCAAGATATTAATTAAAAACTCTGAAAACACTATTTTTCGCACTCATTTTGCTCAGTGGCAAAAGTCTTGCACTTTGGAGATAAAAATGCTTTATTTCGAAAAATGTTGCTATTGCTTGCTTTCAAATCATAGAGTTTGTTAATCAAAAATTTGTAAGTTTTACAAAATCTATATTTATATATATAAAGAATGCCTGTTTGCGTGTGTGTGTCTGTTCGTATTACCGATTTCCGATCAATTATGATAAATTTTTTCCCACATTCAATTGACTAAAATTGAATATATGTGAAATATTGAATGGAACTTGCGTTTTTACGACCATTTAATTAGAAAGACAAAAATGATTAAAAACTGCATGCCATTATTGCTGATATAATGAGAGAGAATTAGATTTTTTCAATTGAAATGTTTTATGTGGGTTACATATTGCGTCACATTGAAAAATTTACGACTATGAATAGTGTTTTTTGCATCGTTATTAGAGAAGGATTACAGCGGTATCGTTCTCTGTTATTAGATACATTACTTTCAATCTAACTTAACTGGCAATGGGATACTTCAATTACTTATCTAATAAAGCTGAAAAATCTAGAAACTAAATATTTAGCTAATGGATGCAAGGCAGTGCCTAAATTTGATACAATAGGGCAGAAAGGAATAACAATTTTATGAATTTTGGGAAGAGCATATAATATAGTGCAATTAGCAATAGATTGGATAAGCTTTTGTTTTAAGTGAGTCAAAACAATTTATGAAGATTTGATTGCCATTTTAATTGTGGGAGGTGCGAGGGTCAAGGATCTTTAGGGATCAAATTATATGGTCCTTTGTTTAACAGTTTAGTGACACCATCGATGTAAGTGTTCCTTGTCCATGGATGACTATCTGGCCACTTTTGCCAGTCTCGTTCTAACCCAGACATTATCAATTCAAAGGCCAACATCACACTTCAAATCCTGTCATCTGCCTAAACAGAAGTTAGTTTCATTTTATTCCTTTGTTTTCCATGCACTTTAAATTTGATCCTCCATATTAGCTCTTGATCAAGAATTAAATTACTTAAATTAGTTGCTCTTGACAGGGGCTTTTCACCCAACATGAGGAATACATAAGAAAAAAGGAAACACAAAAATTCTCTAATGACCAGCACTGTTGGTCAGAAAATCACACTTTCCATTTTGTTGCAGCTAAAATTATTCAAAAAACATCTTCCAACGGTGAATTACATTTTTTAGAGGCATTTCACATTCGCAAAAATCTTTATGTTCTAGCTAACAACCCTAATTCCAATTCATCTTTACCTACAGTCTTTAAGGAAATTATGTAGTTTTCTTGTTTCATCAGTAGATGGCACCAGTAGCTTCTGTCCAGTCATTCTTATCTTATCTAATCACTATATCTTATCTCATTCACTTCTTATGCAGCTGAGGAATATGGTTCTATAATTACATCATCAAAACTAGTCCTGCAAAATTTAAATATTACGCTGATTCTTGTATGACTTCTCCAATAGTTATTAAAAAGAATATCTGCAAATGCATTTGAACGGTTTATTTCATTCACTTTATTGCTTAAAATTGTAGTCTTTTTTACCCTGTTAATGACATTCAAATACGGCATGCATCATAAAGTTTATGCTGTCTCAAAACTGAAGAAATATAATACAGTTTGACATAATTTAAACCACCTTTTTAACATTCCTTGTATATATTGGTATATTGGATAGCTAGGGATGAAAATCTTTTTCAAAGATATGCTCAAGCTAACTCGATTACAATTTTTAACCTTTTAATGCACTCAATCAACTTAATTTGGGTATAACAATTCAAATTATTTCTGCACACCCATGAAAATACATTCCAGATATGAATACAGCAGAATATATTCACTACGGTTTTGAATTAAAAAGAGGTTAAAAGAGGTTGAGTTAAAAAAGGGGGGAAGCAGAAAAAAGACCACTTTATGAATTTTTAATTGGTGCATTAAGGGGATTTAATATCATACAGTTCCTTGTATTCCATTTATGCTAGTAATGAGCTCCAGAAATCAGCAATACATTCTTTTTGGAATTACATTTTTAGGCTAGCGTTCTTCAAGACTTTAATGAACTGCCTTCTTTCATTTAGTCATAGTTTGTTATATTCAATATTTGAATCAAAAGGATGAAGAATGCTACTCAGAAAATAATTATGATTAATAAGTTTCAAAATGTGCCCTCAGAGTTTCATAATATGTACATGCCCCATTGCATAATACTTTTCCAATAATGATGTTATTTCCTAATAACAAAGATTCTGAGATTTAAAATGGATAAAATTTCCTGCTTTACACAACTACCCCTGTAAGTTTCGACTCAAAACCCCATATTTCCTGAAAGACATGGACAGCAGACAAAGAATTGCTTTGTACTCAGAGATTTAGTTCATTTAGTTTTGAGAATACATCTGAATAACATGCCAATGTAAATGTGGCATCTTTTCTTTGAACAAGTACGATTATTACTAGATGGTTCTTCAATGGCACCAGTAACACTGATATTAATTACATAATCACACACAGATTCTGCATTATTAGCCCTGCTTAAATGAAGGATGTGTCATAGCACCTCTTTCCTTTTAAAGATTTGGTTTGAAGCCAGTTTTCCATTGTGTAAAATGAGCACTACGTGACAGAGACAACTACAAATATCTATTACATAAAAAGGATTTAGATCCACTACACATTTATTGGACTAATAGACAAGCATTGAATAAATAATGCATATAATTTCTTATAAATTGTGACTGGCTGCAAAATATCTAATTTTTCCCCCCTGGATATTATTAACCTAGATTTAAAAAAAAGCAGAGTCTAAATGGTCTCACATTATTATCTAACACACAGATGCAAAAATTAATGCAGAAATATGCCTGAAATAAAGGTGCAGTTTAATGGTGTACATTAACTGTACATAACATTTCTATGCATCTCTAAAACATAAGAAAGTTCTAAAGACATGAAAAGAAGGTTTGTCATTTCCACTCATTTTAAGGAACTGAATGGTTTTTGGCTGGGTTACAGGTGTGGTGCCAGATGTGAAAGAAAAGGTGGTGAGAAGCATCACAGTCAGAGTGCTTTAAATTATTTTTTTCTCACGGAAACTAGAGTCGGAAGTCCCCAGGTAGGATAACCGGTAATAAATTTGGTAAAATGTCAGTCGTTAGAAGTAAAAGTGATAGAACGGGATGTGTAATCTCCAAATTCTGTGATTTTCAGCTATACTGTGGTTTATGCAGTTAATAGGAATTTTACCTTTTTTGGAAATCTAGAAGATTTTAAGAATCACAGATTGAAATACACTTGTTTTCAGTGAAGAAATAGCTGCATTTGTACTTACACCTGAAATGAAAAACTCAGAAGAATGAAAAACCAACACAGAACAAAGTATTTTTAACTAGTTCCTTGATGTTCACAATGAATCACAAGGGGAAATTTCAAAGAAAGCATCAAAGGTCTACTGACAGTTATGACAATCAGACTTGCATCAGTGGTTCTTTGTGTCAAGACTGTATATCAGTGTTTTTCCCATAAGGCAAGAGTGAAAATTTGAAATGACTTATTCACCAAGGAAGAAATTCCCAAGCATGTAGGAAGAGTGTTGGAAATATGTATTTCTGTTTGCCACAGGGCTGATCATCACAGAGATATCTGCTTATAAACTCAGACATAAGATATTTCTAAAGAAGTCCTAGACATTTTAAAGTGGGAAATTCCAATGACAATCACAGAATTTTGATCAGATATATACATATCATCTTATGGTTTCTGTGGGAATTAATGTGATTCCCATGTCAAGACTGCTAGAACGATAAGTTTACATCCTGAACAAAAATTCCTGTATAAATGATTGAAGATTTCAGTGGCAATTACAGAGACAACTGATAATTCAAGCACTCAATTTGAGGACTAATCCTTGCAACAAAGAACTGTGTCTCCATAAAGTCTTGTTAGGGTTTATATTCTCTGCAACTATGGACTCAGATTTATCTGGATTGTCGTAAGTCACAGATATCCCCTTTTTATTTTTCCTTATTTGTTCTTGCAACAAAGAGATTATGGCTATTTTTTAATTCTTTTCCGCCCCTAGATTGCTTACAAGTAGCTATTTTTTAATTCTTTTCCTTCCCTAGATTGCTTACAAGTAGATTTTGGGGCATTATCTCATACTACGGATGCCTCTGAATAAGAAAAATTTGACTACAGCTACACAATTCACACTAACGCACAATTTCTTGTACATATGTAAGGATATTTAAACTTATAATTATACACTTTTATGAATTAGATGTACATGATTTTAAACATTTATATGCTTATGAATGTGTCTATACATGTAAAATTAGATGATACATAAGTGAAAATGATCCTGATCTCAAATTGATATAGTTTATAATTAAAGACGTATAATGATTAATCTAATTTTTTTAAGCAGTAAAACCACCACATAAAAAGTAAAAATTTTATAATCACTTTAAAACTACTGCCTACAATATCCAATTTAACATGGGCACAAGAAAAGTTCTCACCTTCACATGAGGGTGTAGCATTTGGTAACCACTGCCCTTTTGCTGAACAGAACCTAGTTGCAACACCCTTCAGTTTATAACCTTCATTACAAACATATGTAACATTGTTAGGAAATGTAAACAGATGACCAATCCGCTCAGCATTTTCAATGTAACCAGGATCATTACAACTTGTGGCTGAAATATGAAAGTATTTTTAATCAAACACAAAATACATGAAATGAAAAATATGAATGAATGCTTTTTACAATCTCAATATGACTCATGAATTATAAAAGAAAACAAATAAATTAAAAGAATCAAAAGCATTAATACCTAAACTAGAATATTAGATCGAATCTAAAACCACAGAATTTCACACTGCAGTTTTTGTAAATTGGTATTTTAACTGGTGGAAAATGCAGCTTACATATCACATAGCTTCATGTATACCATTCATTTATGCTACAGGAGTTGAATGAGAAGGAAAATCACAGCTTAGATGAAACTAAATAAATTTGTTTTCTGATTTGAAAAAATGATACATGATAAATTTGTTTAATACATTTTTTTAATATTTTGCTGCACATACAAAACAGAGTTTTCATAAGGGCATTTTAAAAGATTTACACTCAATAATTATTTACAGTCTATAAATTCAAACAGTTTAAGTTCCAAAATTAGTGTTACATTTTTAAATGAAAATTCTTTAAAATTGTTCATACAGTTCTATATATAATGAAATAAAATCCTACAAGTAAGAACCCCTGTTTAGCTATGTCATTTATTCTCTTATTTTCAAACCTTTTTGAAGTAATGCTGATAGCTGCAAAATTTGTAATTACACAAATTTATTCAGAATGGGATGAATATAGCCTCAAAATTTGGCATCAACAGACAGCAAGGAAATGTTTGCTTATACAAGCAAAATTTTAGTCATGAAAAACAGCACATCTACTTAATAATCAAACACAAAAAATATGAAATAAAAAAGATTTCATTCATTTACTAACCAAAGCCAGCAGTTGTTACCTTAAGGAACAAATAATTACGTACATTGGATACTTCAATGAATGACCATTTAAAATATTCTAAAAATGTTTTTCATAAGAGTTTAGTTTTACATCAGAATAAATTTTCTCAAAATAAATATTTTTATTACATATAGTTTCAAAGGAGGAGAGATAAAAAGAAATATTATATAAAGGGCTAAATTTTTTTTATAAATTTAGCAGTAATTTTAATTTTAAATAAATCCATAAAATTCTCCACAATACTTGAAGTCTACTGAAAACATTTGCATGAAGTCTATGTTATTATCATTTGAAGTTAATAGTGCTTTAAATATTATTCTTATAATTCAAATCAACTGCCTGCAAAAAGACTCGGTCTTTTAGTCTTTTTGTTCCAACTTTCCAAAAAGGGTTTTTTTAATATCCTATTTCACACAGCAAAAAAATACACACTTTTTCCTTTCTTTTAAATGATACTTTTAACTGCATCCACATGGTACATATCATCACAGTTCAGGGCCATAGCCTACAGTTCACATAGTTCTCATTTATCAAAACATCAAATTTTGAATTACGTATGATTTACTTATGACAAATTTTACTAGTAATGTTTATCAATAGGAATCTGTTTCTTCCCAACATGTTGGTGCAGATGATACAGTAATGTTAAATAAAACAAAGATGGTGAATAACAATTTCATAACTTCCCAAAATATACAGAGAATACATCCAATACCTGGAACAATCTAATACCTAGACCTCGGACCATTAGGAAAAAAAAAAAAAAAAAGTTTTTCCCACCAAAGCCCGGGAATGGAGGATATAATGCTCAAGAAAAGGCAGGTGTGCTGATTTTTCTCCAAACTAACTGAGATTGCAGTATGTCACTTTCAAACACCTACTGGTTAAGGAATGACCACTGTGACCAATGACAATACACCGATTAGTGCTTATATTGACACTGGCCACAAATACAATTTCAGCTCTTGAATGGTTATGAGAGTGAGTATCTTTCTCATTTAAACAAGCAGTAAAGCTCCAAGACATATTTTTTGACATGGGATGTTGTTCATACTAGTTTTCGGTTGCTCGTGGAGAAAGGGAAAAGAATGAGATTCCAAGGAACAGTTAAAATATCAAATTCACTCTTGCTTAATTTTCTGAAAGAAGCATATTTTTTGCTCCGTATTTTATTATTAATTTTATCAAAATTTTTATTTGTCAAATGCCAGTTACATTGGCCGTTAGGCCATTAAATTCCTTGTTTGCCAATAGCGCTGAAATCTACAAGACAAAATTGTCAGTGCTTCACACTCGTCGAAATGTTCCGCCGTCATTGGCTGTCCACTATTATATAACATACACAATGGTGAATCAGCTAGTCCTATGCGAAATAAATGATTCTGTAGACAGTCATGTCCCGTCAATAGTCTAAAAGATGCAACCACAACTGTTCGTGGGTGGTCAGGAACAAAAGCTGGGTTTGATGAGAGAACACTCCAAGGCTTGCCCTCACAAGTCCAAGTGGCAAAATCTCTAAAAGTCTTTTGATATGTTAGCGATGTCAGAAGCTTAATAGGATGGAGGCTTGTACACTTTTTGGCTTTTGGAGAACCGTAGCCCCCTTTTTTGCAAGCATATCAGCCATCTCATTCACATAAATACTGCAGCGTGAAGGTAACCATTGAAAAGATATCTTGTGGGAAAGTCCTTTTATGACTTCCTGACACTGTTGAAGGCATATGTTCTTACGCTCTTGGTAAGAGGAGATGGCCTGTATTGCTGAAGTCGAATCAGACAGTATAACAGCCCTCCTGAATGAGCTCTGTCTCAATGATAATTGTTGGGAGAGCTACATGAATGGCTTTCAGTTCTTCATCAAAGTGAGTGGAGTAAGCCCCTACAGGTATGCAGAAACTGAAAAGCTTGCTAAAAACTCCAACTCCAGCCCTCTGAATCCTATGGGTCAAAGAGCCATCCGTATATACATGAATCCATCGCCATTCCTCAGCTGGGAAACGTTGCTCAATTGTTTCCAAAGTTATAGTTCTTATTTGCTCTGGACTCATTTCCTACTTATCAACTTTCATTTACAGGTCCAACCGCACATCAGGAAGCTATAATCCAACGGATTTAGCAAAAACAGCAGTGCCGGTTTCAGTGTTCTTACATGATTGTATTGTTCTAGGCAAGAGAGACACTGCAGAAAGCCATTTTGTATCTTCAGTTTTTGTTGTTTATTATAACCATAATTCCTCCAATGAGAATTACTTTGCAGACGAATAAGTCTCTGGAAAAGGGTGAAAGCATTTTTCCGAATCAGGTTTGTCACTGGTTGGTTTGCCAATACCAACTGCTTAATTTTACCAAAATTAAGAGCCATCAAAATTAAGAGCCAATAAAGTAACGTTTTAAAAACCGATACAGCAGTATGACCATCTAAGAATGCTAGAAATATTTTAACATTAAATTTGATAAACAGGGTATTGCAAGATCATGAGAAGACAAAGTATCTGCAGATATTTTTTTAAATGCTTTGCATAATATATAGCCAGCTATCAAATTCCATGACCATGCTGAAAGCCACAAATCTGAAAGTTCTCGGATATCACAAGTAAAAAGTAAAATTTTCTGATGACTAAAACATAAGAAGAAATGCTAATGAATAAGTGATGATGATAAGATGAAGATGGACTGAACTCTTACATTGAGACAATAATGCTTTAATCATCAATCAATGGATATCAGAAGAACTGATAAATGAAGATGATATAACTGAAGATAATGATATAACATTGGGATCAATGCTTTAGCCATCAATCAAATAATGGGACTTTAAATATCTGTAGTACGGTTTTACAGCCAGAAAATATTGCCATTTTGGCTTTGAATCACATTTTAATTTGAAGTGGTGGTGATTCAGAAAAAAAAAATCTTTTTTTATACAGAATACAAAATATTAATAAAGAATACCATTTACTCCATAATTTCTACATGTCACCTTACAAGATTTAATCATATGATCTATTTTCTGCAAATTTCCAAAACCCAGAATCTCCGAAGCATCGAGATGCTCTATCTCAAACTTCACAAGTTTCACTCCACTTATTCAAAAACAGAGTAGTTTGTCACAATTTAAAATAATTCATTTTTAAAGGAAAGTAAATAAAGATAAAAATTTCATTTTAATACCAGGGTTCATAGCCACATTTTAGTTAAAAAAATAAGCATCTGTCTAATTACATTATACACAACTGCATAACTTCAAAAATTAGACTTGTAATTTAAAATATGAGAAATGCAGTATTTATTAAGAGAGAATAAGCATTACCTCAACCATGGAAAATAATTACTTTTTTTTTTAATTTTAAATAAGTTTTAATTTTAAATAGTTCAATTTACAGAACTAGTTTACAATGAAAGGAAAAAGAAAACTATGCAGAACTAAACTATATTACAAGATTTAATGATGAAATTTCAGTTCAAAATAGAGGAAATAAATAATAATAAGGCATATTTATTCTATTCGCTTGGAACTTAATAATAAATACAATTTTTTTTCTACTCATATTGATATTTAAATAATTTAAATCTAAATTCTGAACATTTTCTAAATTTTCATCATATATCAGTTTTTCCTTAACAGATACTCGCAAGCAAAGTAATTTAAGTAAAAACAGAGGAACAATTTCTGAAATCAGAAGGACAGAAATTGCTTTCATGCAGTCATCCTTTAACAGTAAAAGCTTAACGAACCCTGCATACTTCAGAAATTGGCGAATTTTCGGACAGTCGAGCGCAACTTGAAAAAGAGGAGCGGAGGGGGGGTGGGGGATAGACTGTAGCCGTTCTTTATGATTTTTCTGCTAAATAAATGCTTTTGACATTTCGATATGTGCATCATATAAAAACAATAAAACAAACCAATGGAACAGAACAATATTCTGCTTAGCAAGCACAGTAAAACTCTTTTAAGTGTTCCTAAACAAATCTCGGACCGAACATCAAAATTAATTATCTCTGCAAAATATCGCACACGTTATTGCGCAATACGTGCACCGTAATTTTTCCCTACATGATATTATGCAATCGGATTCAACAGCTGCCGGTATTAGGAGAATAAAGAACTAAATAAAGGAAAAGAAAGAGACTTTACCAATCTGGGGTGTTTTTTCATTCTAATTTTGAACAGACTGCGTTAAATTTCCGGAATAGAATCATTCTTCGCTTGGTGTTGGTAGACCGCAGAACTTTTAGTCCTATTCAAACCAGATTGCAAAGTGACAAACAAAAAAAAAAAAAAAAAAAAAAAAAAAAAAAAAAAAAAAAAAAAAAAAAAAAATAAAAAAAAAAAAAAAAAAAAAAAAAAAAAAAAAAAAAAAGGGTCCGTTGCTTGTTTTGCAGCGAACTGTAACAGTTTCAATATTCGAGATTTTGCGGAAAAATGGAAGAACCTCCCTTCGTACTGTATAATGTATTGGCCAAAAAAATGGAATTGTTTTGACTATTTGATTACTTTCCCTTTATTTAAGCCATTCCGAATATTATGAATTAGAAAGCTAATCTGTGTTAAAACACAATCATTTTTGGAAGTTTACTATAACTTCAGCAGTTACTGCAACTATGTTATTATAAACATTCATACATATATGCTCATAATATAAGCATTACGATCATAATAAACACGAATACGAACAGACCAAGTGGAACGAGAATGCAAATTATTAAGATCTTGATAGAAATTCAAACGTGTGTAGTATTTGGGTGGGAGGAAAAGAATGCCGAATGTACCAGAATTTTCTACTGCTTTCGCAATTCTTTGACCAACAGAACGATGGGCACCTGTCTGTACTCTCCGCACACACCAAAGGTTATGTTAATGCAGAGAAAGAAAAGCTATTTCCGGAAGTATGATTCACCATCTGACATTCCATTTTTTATTAGGAAGAAAAGTTGTTTATTTAGTTTCGGCTTTGGTATGGGGAAAAATTGCGCGTTCATTTAAAAAAAAGCAATAAAAGCAAAAAATAAGCACTAAAAACAAAAAAATAAGGGCTTTAAAGAAAAAGTAAGCACCTATAAGGGCCTTTATATTTTATTTTCAAATATAAGGACTTATAAGCACTTATAAGGACCGCTACGAACCCTGTAATACACTTCAGCACTGATGAAATGAAAGCTTTAATTTGTAAAACTACTTAATCTTGTAAAACTACATGATCATGAACAATCACAGCAATTACATCTTTTATACATTCCAACGCTTCACTGAAATCCCTTTCCCCAGTTTTTAGTACGTTTTCTCAATTACCAATACTCCTTTTCCTAAACTGCAAACTGTTTTTAAACATAAATTCACAAAACAGATTTTTATGCACACAATTATTCTCTTGAATTTTTTTATAAATACATAGCACCTTAGTTTTGTACAAAGAAATCTGGCAAAGCTAATTTAGACATGAAACACAGAGAACCATCATAAGTTTTTCTGCAACTCTTAGTTATTATTTTTACAACAAATAACAAACCATAAGAGTCTTTCTGAATATCACCTTTTAAGAGTTTATTTTCATTACTTGCTTTATTAGTATTTTTATTACTTTAAGACTACAAACTAAACATACAACATATATGTACTTACGCCTGCAGGCTCTTTCTGTACGAGGCCAACTTGCTACACCATCTTTTAAAGAACAAATTAATTTTGCAGTAGTACTTTCTTTAAGATATCCACTATTACAAACGTAATTAATAGAATCACCAGGTCTGAATGGAGATTTAAGCCCTTCTAATCTAAGCTCTCCATTTGCAATTACAGGTAAATCATTGCAGACAGCTGAAAAATTATAGTGGGGAAAATATATTAAACAGGAGAAAAAGTATACTAAAAAGATAATAATGAATAACAATAATTCAACACAATCCTCCAAAAGTACTATAAAACTTCAAGAATAAGCATTTATTTCAAACAAAAATTTTCACTACATTTTTAGCACTCAAATTTCACTTCTGGGGTCAAGAGGTAAAAGAAAATACACAGCCTACATGTCACTAATTTAAAAGTGTACTTCCAGGTTTCCAAATCTTGGTACAACACAACAATGCACATCATTTAAAGAAAATAATTTGTACAGTTGAACGAGTAGGAAAAGAAATATTCATAAGAAGGGGGTATTCAGTACATAATATGACACACAGGTAGATTACACAAATAACAGATGACCATAAAGTTTACATAATTTTATATGAAAAAATATCTGTATGCTGCAAGCAAAAATTTTATATCTTGGTTTTGGAACAGAATTTAACTTGCTATGGTGATACTACTCCCTTACACAATATGTCCTACAAATCGAGAGGGGGGGGGCTGCAAGTTACAGCCTCTAACAATTAAAGGTTCCATACATACATTAAATTGCATCCAATTCAATAGCAGCATTTTATCAATGAGAAAGTAAGAAAAAGTTTAGATTTGACATTTAAAAGTAGTTTTCGGTTTGTAAGTAATTACCTCTTATTACATATTTATTCTCTGTAGGTTTATTCAAATTTTTAAAAGCTATGAACCAATATATCATTTCCAAACAATCCAACCAATCATCCATGAGCCAATATGCAAGTTCCAAAAAATCATTCACAATAAGTTATGTTCTCACATGTATTTTTGTGCTTAATCATTTGTTATGCATATAAATATATACAGGGTGTCCCGTAAATGTTGCAACAAACTTCTGAGGAAAGTAGGGCACATCATAAGGATTAAGAATTGCATAGGAACCCATGCCCGAAAATGTCAGGGGTAAGTGGTAACAGAGGTAGAACATGGGAAAGGGAACAAGAGAGTGGTTAATTTGAAACATTTATTGGACATGAATACAAATGGTGGACCACAGCTTGAATGTTACAGCAGATGCTCGAAGTTTGCACCATAAGACGCCAAACATGCCCGATACCGACGGACCATTGATTGCCAAACATGTTCAAACATACCGGGATTTTCTTTGATTGTAGCAGCTGTGCAGGAGAGTCTTGCCACGAGATTCATTTGACATGACATGATTGTGATACACGACACTTTTGACAGCTCCCCTCAAAAAGAAATCTAGGCTCGAGAAATCCGGTGAGCATGGGGGAGGGCCAGGGAAACGGTCCAACACGCCCAAACCGTCAATGCGGGAATGATCTGTTCAAATAGCTACAAACATCCAGTCCAAAATGAGCATATGCCCCATCATCTTGGAGCCACATGTTGCACCTCAGATTCGGTGGAACATTATCAAGCAATCCGAGTAGAACCTGCTCCAGAAACATCAGATAATTCAAGACATTCCCCGTAAGGTAAAAGATATGGTATGACTAAGCAGTCGCCGACCAAACAAACTTACACATTAACTTTGAAGTGTTGTTGTGCCGTGGGGTGCCGCACACTGCGGGGTTTTTCTTGAGCCCACAAATGCTGATTGAATACACCATCCCTACTGATTGTGGTCTTACCCATGAACAACACCATAAACTGAGAAATTAACATCACTGCACTTCCTAGCAGAAACCACTGTGTGAAACGCACACATTCAAGATGGTCATCAGGGAGCAGTAACTGAACCCTTTGGAGACGAAAGGAGTGGAAGGCCTCTGCATTCAAGACACGCTGGATGAGCGTATTATTCACGTTCAAGACACGCTGGACCAGCATGTCTTGAACGTGAATAATACGAGACATTCTTAATTGAGAAGCAATAGCACGTATGCTGGTCCTTTGATTATTCTCCACCATATTTAACACACTTTCTTCCCTAACGACTGAGCGAGTTGATCGTAGCCTGCCCTCACTTGTCCTTCCGCTTCTTAATGATCTGTAGTCGCATGAATTTTGATGCAGATGTGCAAATAAACCATGGTGTGGTTGATGTCTGTCAGGGAAGGGTTCTCGATAAATGTGTGCAACGGCTTGTCCATTACCCTCAGCTATTCCATACACTAAGTGCATTTCTGTAAGCTCTCTGTTCATATAGCATTCAATGCTCTTTGTATGGTGCCTACCGCTCAAATGAGGCAATCCTCATTTTTCAGCTCAAACACAAGAAGAAGAGGCCATAACTTCAAAAACATTTGAATTTGAAGTATAAAACAATGGCATTTCTGGGCACTGGTTCCTATGCAATTCTTAATCCTTATGATATGCCCTACTTCCTCAGAAGTTTGTCGCAACATTTACAGGACACCCAGTATATGCATTTGATATGTTTGCTATCTAGATTTAAGAGGGGAAAAAATAGTAAAAATTCATTTTTAAGCTGTAAACCTGTAAAATTTTTATTCAGAGACATTCTGTAGAAAGAGATACTCTGTCTGTTCTTTGTTCAGACTTGAAATTATCTGTAAATCTTTATCACAGTAAATAACTCAAACACTTTTTCTTTTGCTTGTAGTTAATAGCAATACGTTCTAATGTTGCTGATGATGTAAATATTCAACAAACTGATTTCGTTAGCTTTTGAAACAGTTTTCAAAAAATTTTCAATTATAATGCATATTTCGCATTAAAATATTAAACTAGTTACAAATACTGCATTATTAGTCACGATAAACACGTGGTCCACAGTACAAAACTACTACCACAGAACTCAGCACTGAAAAAATAAAAAAGGTCATACTTATGAAAGCAACCCTCATAACTAGAAATCCTTGAAAGAGATATCAAAAGTTGTGCAGAAGAAATAACACTATCAATGCTAAAGTTCATAAAATATGTATGTCGTCTGTTTAGCACACATAAAAGATTTTCAGTACTTTTCCGTTTTGCCGGTGCAGGTGTTAAAGTCGCCAATAATGGTACAACTGATGCCAAACACAATATCTTCGCTGGTAACATTTTACCAGTGGCGTAGCTAGGGTGAGGCAAGGACGGACATCTGTCCCCAGGCGCAGCATTCAGGTGGCGCAAAATTTATGCTACGAAATTTTTTAATGAAATGTTTCCCATTCTTGGCACACAGAAAGGGGCGCAAATATTTCAGTTGTCCCTGGGTGCTGGAATCCTAGCTACGCCACTGCCTTTTACGCCTCATTTTTCAAAATAAGTAGCAGCCATTTCTTAACAGATTGATTGTTTCTTTCAATATTGGCATACAGTTACATAAAATTTTTACCAGATAGTTCAATTTTATGCCCTACGGCCATTTGCAGTAATTACGTCAATTAGAATGCAAACACACCGCTCACCTGATAGCAAAAATATAGAAGAGGCAAAGTCAAAGGTTAAATTTATCCATTCTAAGGAGAATGCACTTGTGAAGTAAAGCACTGCAGTTTTACATAATTTCCGAGTAAGCTATTCGTATGAAATGAAATAATTCTTGCATTTAAACTTGTATTCCAAATTAAGATTTAACTTGAAATCAATGGAGATAATTACTGAGAGAATTGGATTTTTGTAGCGTACTTTATGTGAAATGAGATCACTTTGGGGCCACATGATATGAAAAGGTGAATCAGGATGCTGAACTATGAAAGCATAGTAAATTCTTAAATTAATATCTTTTTTACAAATTGATTGTCTTTATTTATTGGCTTTTTAAAAAAAATTTTAAACAATATTAAAATGTTTATGCCTTCAAAATAAAAAATTCTTAGAATCTAACATTTGTCAACATTTTTTATGTGTATACTGTATGTCGTCGCCAATAAAGTCTGCTCGGTGAGATTTGCGAAGACAAACCATATTTTCATGTGTTAGTACCCATAACATTAAGTCATTTTCAGAACTTTCTGCAGGTCAACATTATTTGCAAAAGTACAAAAGTGGTTAAGTTAGTTCATAGTTATTGTAAAAGTGAAATTTCAATTTAGAACTCGCAGATTCTAAAATCATCAATCATCCTTTTATTACTTTGATCTAAATACCATTTATGTTCTTTTACTAAGTTGCATGTCTCCCCCCCCAAAAAAAACCACTTATATATTAATGCAATATTTAATTGAAAATAACAACAATGAACTTCCCACAAAATGTCATATAGCAGGAAAATAGGACACTGATTACAAGTAAGGTACCTTTCATTTATCTATAACTCATAGAAACATTCTGATCCTTCCATTGCCTCAAAAACTATTATTTTTGGCTCACAATCTATTACACTAACAGTCACAATATACTACGTACTAATTTTAATAAAATTAAAGTACTTACTAATTTTAATAAAATTAAGTGTTCGTACTATATACAGTCAAAAGTCGTTAATCCGGACCTCAAAGGTACAAACTTTCTGCACATGCGCATAATACATTTACGCATGCGCGTTTAATGTATAACGGACGGTATAAGCTAAGCTAAAATTATCTATTTCAGTTAATGTTGCAGATTGCGTTGTTCCTTAATCTTTGAATGGATCCGGCTTATTATTTTTTGCAGACTGTTAGAGCAATTTATAAAGTAAGTTGGAAGTTTCGATTATGTCAAATAGATTTCCAATGCTGGATCTACAAAGGAAAGCATGTTTCGAGGTCCATCAAACAAAAAGTGGATTGCTTCAAAAAATGGATAAAGGCTCCTTTTTTTTCTCTAACCATTCCGAAATCTGTTTATCATTTCACGCTACTTTGCGGGGGGGGGGGGGGGGGAATGTCGCGGCGCGCAATGAACTGGAAATTGTCTGTCAGCACTATCCTTATCTTCAGGGCAGATGTTTTTTTTATTTATTCGGCTTATAATTCCTTACTAAATGTAGTATTTCATCTCAATGTACTCCGTCTTTGATATGATTGAAATAAAATTCCTTGTCATTATAAATATCACGAATACAAATCAAATAGTTTTCTGGTTGCAATTTTCAAATT